AACACATGACAGTTTCAAATCGATTTGTGTTGATTATATTTTAATCACTTTTTTGTATTCATGATACTATTTACACATAAACGTTTACTGCACATGTACAATACTGTAATTTACATAATAAATTGAGTTAACATAGATCTCTGGATTACAATTATTGAAAGGCCCTCAAAATTGTGTACAGTACATTTTATTAAATGCACTCAAATGAGTGTAAAAAGGTTGACATAGTTGTGAAAATTGACTCTTTTAAAACAGGCCGGGTTACTGGAAGTAACAAAATCATTACTTGCAGATGCCCAAACTATAAAAATAGAAGTTGGTTGAAGATGTTGAACATTTAGTCGAAGTTTGGTGAAGAGCACTTTAGCACAAGTATCATTCTGCGACAGTTCTCTAACCCTCCTATGCAAACATACATTCTGTGCCAAGTAGTCCTTTCGGACAAAATCAAACAAGTGTCTGTTTTCAACAGTTAAGAATTCAGAGCCTACATAAAGCAGGATTGACTGGTTGTGGCTGTTTATTGAAAGTAACTTGATACAGCTATGCTGTGACTCCGGATGAGTGATAAAACAGCTGTGACCACAACTTGCCTGCTTTGTCTGTTGACCCAGTTTGACTAGTCACAGTGCTTGCTTGACATATGATCTGACTGCTGGTGACTAGCCTTTGTTAAAAGTATAGCAGGGGAAATGGAAGTGAATTTTGACTGTGACTGTTTAAATAGCAGGAGGGCTAATAAAGAGTGTGAACGTAATTGATAAAAAAGAAAACATTTCCTACAAATTATCCTGCGCTCATTAATTGTATCACTTCGGGATATTTCAGAGTTCAGTTCACAATGCCCTTGCTGCTGTTATTTCTTTTGTTCAGTGAACAGTAAGAAAAAGTGTTTCCTGCCTTGAATATTATGAATAATAGTTTGCACAACAAAGCCCAAACCTACACAAAGCATAAATTTGTGACATGTCTATTTTCAACATTGGTTGAAAAATCTTCCAGCTGAACTATAATTTCCTTAATTATTTCAAAAATCGGCATTAAACTTTTTCATGGAAATACACAATGTACCAAATAAATCCTGAAGTGCTAATTCTTAGAGCACCTCTCCGGGAACTTAGATTTTAAAATATTTCTCTTGTAGGCCAAGTATCCCAACAACTTTCATGCCAATATCTTTGGAGTAAATTTTATATTGGGTTTTGCCCTTCGCCGACATACATGTATATTATAAACACTGTATACTTGGTATTGTCCGAGGGATTGTGAAAAAAAAAATCACAAACTCCTCGGGTGAGACTCGAACCCACGACCTCCTGCTTACTAGACTTGATGTCTTATCGATCGACCACCGAGCTTGCAGGGGGTCGGACAGCCGGTTTGAGTCTGATGTAGCAGCAAAAGAAAATATAAAATTTACATCTCCATACGTAAATTCCATTTCATAAAATAAAATCCCAAGTGTAGAAGTTTTCGCCACTCATGTTGAAACCCCGTCGGAGAAAGCCAGAGCTGTGATGGCCTTCTGATGGCCGTTGAACTCGCGCTTGACTTCCGCTTGCTCAACACTCCATAACCTTGCTGTGTGGTCCGATGAGGCTGGGACACAAATAGAAATAAACGATTTGTAAAAAAGGGCAGTAAAGGTTCAAATCTAACACGACCATAAAGTTGCTTCCGACTGTTCTTCTGACTGAATGACTGACTTAATACTAACTCACTGACTGCTGTCACCTGTGACTTACATTGGTCTGGGACCAGTTTTGCTAGGTTTGTTTAAATGCCATGTACGATCTATATCACATAGTCTGACATCGCTTTTTCCATGCGCTTTTAACTAACAAGTTCCCATGTGAATAGCGAAAGTGGATTTTTGTAATTTCCATCACATTACCACTACCGCTTCCGCAACTAATTTAAGCCATTTTGAAACAATTGAATAGAACTCTGTATGCACTGAGACCAGCTTATTTAAGCTTGTCTTGTTGTCTTGTTAATGTGTAGTTGAGACATTGCTCACAACATCAATGTCTACAACATTGAAAACTAAATAAGGGGAGTTTCATCCGTAAAAAAACAGAAAGTTAAAAAGCTCCTCTGCCTCCTCTGCTAACAGCCAGAAGGAAAACAGAAGCCATTGGGAGCGTCTGCTACAAGCCCAGTTGGATGACGTCAAGCTACAGCTCTCTTATGATCAGGCAAAGTGACTGAGCTTTAAGCACCAACCTGTGACTAGGTAGAGCGAGTCCGATGAGAAGGCGCAATCCCAGACCCATCTCTGGACTGCGTCTGTCAGCGTGGTCAGGAGACTGAAGTCAGCCGTCTTCCAAATCTTCACTGTCTGGTCGGCTGCTGTGGTGGCAAGAAGCCTTTGAAAAATGCCAGGAATGATATCAGAGAATATGAAATTTTGACTTCAGGGTTTCAAAGATTTTATTCCTGAATTTCAAGCTTAAAATTGTTGCTTTCAAAAGTTCCAAATTTGAGGTTTCTTTCAAAGCCACAACTGGATTTGTTGAAAAAGTCTTACTATAAATGTAATTTGTGCATGTATCATGGGTCTGACTTGTGAGGATACTTCTCTGAGCTGATGTATCAGCTTGCCACAGTCAATGAATTATGGGTTGATGCCCAAAATATGAATGAAAAGTGCATCTCGTTATATTCATACCGACGAATGGACATTTGCACAAAATGCGTTTAATCGTGGACCCTATAATTTATGAAGAAATCTTTTTCAGACGTGAGATACTTACGTGCAGTCAGGACTGAACTTGCACTTGATGCCGTACTTCTTGTGGGCGGGGATCTTGGTCTTCGGGAGGAGTTGGGAGATGGGGTCTTCTTTGCCGGGGGAGACCCGCCAGATGTAGCAGTTGCCTTTGTTGTTAATGGCGGCCATGTGAGTGGCCTCTGAGTCGATGCTGAGATGCTGGATGAAGAGTCTGGCTCGGGCACCTGAAAATAAAATGTTTTTATCAGGTCTCTTCATGTACCCTGCTACGTGCAACAAAATTCCAACACAGTTGCAGTAAGAACCCTGCTTATTGCAACGAAATTGCGTTGCACAGTGAATTAATTACACAACAGCCATGGCACTGTGCAGTTACCCTGCTAAATGAAACAGTGGGTTCTATTGCACCAGCCATGGCAATTAGCAGTTGTGCCACTAAATGCAACAAAATGCAACAGTGGTTTCTGTTGCACCAGCCATGGCAATTACCAGTTGCGCTGCTAAATGCAACAAAATGCAACAGTGGGTTCTGTTGCACCAGCCATGGCAATTACCAGTTGCGCTGCTAAATGCAACAAAATGCAACAGTGGGTTCTGTTGCACCAGCCATGGCAATTAGCAGTTGCGCCACAAAATGCAACAAAATGCAACAGTGGGTTCTGTTGCACCAGCCATGGCAATTAGCAGTTGCGCCACTAAATGCTACAGAATGCAACAGTGGCTTCTGTTGCACCAACCATGGCACGATCAGCAATTCCCCTGCTAAATGCAACAAGATGTAACAATGCATGGAACTTGAGTTGACTGCTAAATGCAACAGTATGCAACGAAGTTTTACCACTGTTGCATTCTGGGTCACTGAGCATGGTAAGGGTTAGTTCATTTTCGTCAACTCACGTTTCAGAATATGGGAGTTAGACGAAGAAAGATGGGGGAGGGGAGTATTTCTTTAATGGAAAAGCAACCATAATTATGGATCGTCCAACTTAGGAAGACCAGACAAGTACAAACAGAACATCATGGGATGAATTCATGACATCTAAATGTCTCTTTGAGAAAAGGCAGGAAAAATTAGCACAACCTTGATGTGAAATACAAATACATTGTATTATTTCTTATAGTACCTACCAGTTGTTCGTTGTGGCCACTTCTCAAATCCCATATGTGAACTGTTCCACTCTGGTCGCCGACTATAAGCTCCCCCTATAAACAAAACCCCATAAAAAACATAACATAACAATGAGTGCAGTACGTGCTGCTATGAAATATTTGGACTTACCAGCTGACACCGGCAAGCTCAGTGGTTAAGACGTCTGCACTAGTAAGCAGGAGGTCGCGGGTTCAAGTCCCTACCGAGTAAGATTGTGTACTTTTCTTGCAACCTCATCAACATTAGAGTATACAGTGCCTATAAAATTGGATCATTAAATTAAAATATATGTTCTGCACAGATTTCTGAAGGAACTGCAGTATGTTTGTTTTGCATCTAAGATGCAATCTGTTACCTGATTTGGATGAAGACAGGCGCAGTTGACGGGCGCATTGACTTGAAAGATTTTCTGACATTGCAAGTTTCTCATTCTGTAAATAAACAAGGGAAAAAAATATATTAGTGGCATGTTTTACACATCTGAAGTATTACTTTGCATTAACACCTCCCCCCCCCCCCCCCCCCCCCTGCTCATAATTGGCCAACAAAATACTCCTGACCTCATTTGTCACTTAGGGCTGTGCATTTTCAAACATTTAATAATAATAATGGCTTCTTGTATAGCGCTCATGTCTGTCACGAAGTGACGCTCCTGGCGCTCTAATATTACCCTGGCTTTAGCACGGCTGCCATTACGGCGCTCAAGCAGTGAAGGAATTTCTTCCTACCAGGTACCCATTTACTACACCTGGGTGGAGAGAGGCAATCGTAGTAAAGTGCCTTGCCCAAGCGCACACGCACCATGTTCCCCGTCTGGATTTGAACCCATGTACCACGGCACACGAGTCGAACACCGTTACCACTGGACCACAGCACCCCACATTTCAGCGCATATTTTTGATTACTCACACTTGGATTCAATCGAATATTTGACTGTTTAAAACACCAGCCTTAACCATGTGTACCCGACAAAAATTGAGATGTGACATTATATCTAACAACAAAACTGCCATTGTGACGTAATGAAATGTGCTTCCACACATGGTATGAATAGTCTTAAATGGTGCATTTAGTTAGTCTTATTTTAAGTTAATGAAGAAACTTGTGGCCTCAGTCTACATGTGACATTGACAATGATATTGACCATTGACATCGACATTAATTGGCCTTGACATCAATTGGCCTCACCTAAGATCCCATATCTTGGCTGTACAGTCCTCTCCTCCGGTGAACATCCATTTCCCGTCTTCCTGAAATCCAACGGCCGTCACGTTCCTTGAGATACCCTCGTAGTTAATTACTGGGGACGCCTCGTTAGAGTTGATGTCATACATACGAATGTGCTGATAGCCTGAGTGTTAAAACATAAATCATGAAATATTTCAGTGCCTTTTTTTCTTAGACTTTTTTTTCGGCACTAGAGACTTTCTAGTCTGAAAATTGGAGACTCTCAATACATTGTATGAGAGTCCCAAATTTCAAAATAGTGAAAAAACATGCAATACAAGAAAAGGAAATAGACTGGCACATGAAACAAGCAGTCCAACACCCCTTTAGTACTGCATCAATCAACTGTATCAAAAGAAACATCTGGTACTTAGTCTTTTTTTTTCTTTTTTAATTCATACTATTTCGGCTTTTTATTTTTTTCCAACAAAATTGTAGCTATGTAGAAAGGGTTATGGCTTATGGTTATGGACACAATTTTGTATCAAAAAAGTTGAGAAAATTGAAGAATCTATTCGCCATCTTGGAAAATCCACACATCCTAGAAAAAAACACACAGCAAAAAACAACGCCCGCCTTCTTTTTTCAAAAATGCCAGACGAGAAACTGCTTGGGTTTTTTTTAACTCGGCCGTATCATTGCTTAGTATAATAATCTACGCCTACCTGCTGCAGCTAGAAGATGTTTGTCGGGTGTTATTTCCAAACAATTGACTTGCTATAAAGAGGAGAGAGTCAAAGAAAATATCGCTACAGTAAAAATAATAGTTCAAGTACACGATGTAAGCATTAAGCAACCATCAGCTATAGTGTGAAAGTTTTCAGCATCCTAATGCAGTATCATGATGCCCCTTTTCCGAGTTCCCTCAAGTTATAATAAATATTCAGTAATGGATTTCAGGGGATATTTTGCCACCCCCCTCCCCTATGCCCTTCTTATTTATTAACGTGCCTCCTTCAGTTTTCAAACACTGGAAAGAATAATGCATCCTGATGCCACTTTTTTCATCATATATCATCTCAACGAAGGTCAGTCATTGCAAAAATGTTGAAAAGACATGAATCTGGGACTGAGAAACATTTCCAATTTTGTTAGAAAATACTTTGAAAATGCACTGAACTCTCCATAGACTTTCACTTTGTACACAAGCGAAGAAGTGGCGTCTGGATTAGTCCGAGTAACTTGGACCCAACTTATCGCCTTTTTAAAAATTTGGACATGGTCTGGCGATAGTAGGGTCCAAGCCCATTCCGAGACCTAGACAACACAGTCACTGACAGTCCCAAAAACCAACATTTTCCAACAAAAAACATCAGATTTCACCTTCAAAACGGCCTCCAAATTACTAGATATGCCACCTGAGGTACAAGTAGACATCGATAATTAAGATGGTTGTACTGAAGTTTACTTACGATCCGGAAAAAAAGTGAAATTTTCCGTTCATTTCGGAGAGCTCCCCTCGCCATCTTGAACACGTTAAATTTGCGATCGTGTTTAAAGTTTGAACGACGCGATTTCTTCTACATGCCCAGCGTACATTCGATGGTCCCCGTATCCCGAGTGCGATTCCGTTACCGAGCGCGCGCGATGCATCGATTATGATAATGAGTAGACTGGATCACGTTTGTAAACACATGTGCATTTCAAACGATAATAGGGAGTCGGGAACTAGCGCAGCTTTTATAGCGGGTACCAGTTCAAGCTGGTTCCCGATTCCCTTTTACAGTTCGAAATGTACATGTATGTGTTTACAAAGTGATCATTATCATAATCGATGCATCGCGCGCGCTCGGTAACGGAATCGCACTCGGGATACGGGGACCATCGAATGTACGCTGGGCATGTAGAAGAAATCGCGTCGTTCAAACTTTAAACACGATCGCAAATTTAACGTGTTCAAGATGGCGAGGGGAGCTCTCCGAAATGAACGGAAAATTTCACTTTTTTTCCGGATCGTAAGTAAACTTCAGTACAACCATCTTAATTATCGATGTCTACTTGTACCTCAGGTGGCATATCTAGTAATTTGGAGGCCGTTTTGAAGGTGAAATCTGATGTTTTTGTTGGAAAATGTTGGTTTTTGGGACTGTCAGTGACTGTGTTGTCTAGGTCTCGGAATGGGCTTGGACCCTACTATCGCCAGACCATGTCCAAATTTTTAAAAAGGCGATAAGTTGGGTCCAAGTTACTCTATCGCCAGACCATGTCCAAATTTTTAAAAAGGCGATAAGTTGGGTCCAAGTTACTCGGACTACGTCTGGATACTACATTCTTTCCAAAATACACCACTCTGGCCTGTTGCCATGGTAATGAAACTTTTCCTTAAGTTAGATTTTTTGGTGAATATTCTTTCCCCCCCCCCCCCCATCTGCCCCTCCCCATTAACATTTCCCTTCGCTTCCCTGACCTGACGACACTGCAGGAAAATATAGATTTTACATTAAATAGGCCTATTTGAATTAACAAATACAAACTTTTTGGCCAGCAAACACAAATGATAAGGTTAAGTTTACAATGGCAGTCGTTCGAAAAGAACGATTAGCAATCAACTACATGTGTTGTCAACAGCAGATGAAGCAAAAGGGGTTAACAATTAGGCAGGCTTGGCAAGCAAAGCAAAGCAAAGCAAAGGATACAGAATCTTGGTGTTGGACTGTCCTGTGGCAAATTCCCGTGTGAGCCTGCCAAAATCGGATCGTGTGGTCATACCCGGCAGTCGCCAGGATCACCTGACGATCTCCAGCATCGTTGGGATTTGCCATTTCAGGTAAACAGCCGATAAAACGGCAGAAATTCAGGCAAAGTTCTTGGAAAATTTATTATATTATTTCTTGGAACAAGAAAAGCCTGGATTACATTCACCTCTTGGTGGCGCAATAGCGGTGAGCATTTTCTTCCTGTTTTCGCGGTTTTGCATGTGGCATGGGTGTTTTTCGTGGTATACGGCGGTACGAACGGTTTATTGATCTGTTGGATATGTACACGTAGACTGTTGACAAATCTGACTGATGATAGAGTGAGAGAACGAAAGTTGATGGGTGCGAGACATTTGCTGTGATTTCTACCCAACATCAGTGAGACACCGGTTCTACAATCCGTGTGATTTGTGTTGTTCTAGAAGCCGTTGAATCGAGTGTCAAACATCCCCGGATTTCGCTGGAGTAGCGGTGTTGAAGCAGACTCCCCGACCGTGACTGAGATAGAGCCGCGTCTCCCGTCCACGATGATCCAGGGCTACGGTCCGGTCACTCAGGCTCTGCTTGGGACGTTGTTTACTTGGGGCGTGACTGCAGCTGGCGCCGGCCTTGTGTTTGTATTCTCCAGTGGGAAAGTAAGTTAATTATGAGCAAAGGTCATGACAAGCATTACCTGAATTTTTTGTGTGTGCATTATTTCAGTATTCGGGAACAAATACTTTGTGTTTTAATATCTTTGCAAAAATCACATCTATGAGACTATGATCTAGGCTAATTGATTGTAATAATGTTTACATGATTGATGTGCTCTCAATCAAAATCTTGTGAAGTGTTCATAATTTAGTCACCCTTGTTTTTTGGGGGGTTTTTTTTTTAAACCAATGTCAAAATGACCCCTTGATCAACAATTATTTAAATTCGACACCTTTATTGTTTTTTTCAACAGAGGCGAATTCTTGATGGCAGTTTGGGTTTCGCTGCAGGGGTGAGAATTTTGTCACATTATTCAAGTTTATAATGACTGTGAAATTGGAGTTGTGACTGTCTAGTTTTTGCCCCATATACTCATAATGCTGTATGTGTCGCAAATACTGGACATCCTCCATATTTAGAGCCACAAAGTGGTGCATGCTTAATTTCCTGAAAAGTTGTGTCTCCTGAATTTGAAATTTAGACTGTTTTCTTGTCACTCTGTCACTGTGGAGCATTGGAGGCTACTTTAATACCTGGTTAATAATAACCAGGAAGAACTCCGCACCTCTAGACACCTAGTTATCCTGTAATTTTCACTTTTCTTCAGGGGAAATCTGGAGAGAGCTTGTCCAAAGTACTTTGGACATTGTTTCACATTTCAATAACCTGTCTTCACATTTCAATAAGTAATAACCTGTGTTCACAGGTTATGCTGGCAGCATCTTATTGGTCGCTCCTAGCCCCAGCCATTGAGATGGCCCAATTATCAGGGAACTATGGCGCTGAGGGCCAATGGGCATTCATCCCGGCTGCAGTTGGGTTCTTGTTGGGAGCTGTCTTTGTTTATGGAGCTGACGTACTGATGCCAGTATTGGTGAGAATTGGGGAACGTGGGGTTGGGTTTTGGTTCAGTTGGGTTGGTTTTGGATTGGTTGGGTTGGGTTGGGTTGGGCTGGGTTGGGTTGGGTTGGGTTTGTTTGGGTTGGTTTTGGATTGGTTGGGTTGGGCTGGGCTGGGTTGGGTTGGGCTGGGTTGAGTTGGGTTGGGCTGGGTTGGGTTGGGTTGGGGGGTTAGTTGGGTTTGGTTGGGTTGAGTTGAGTTGAGTTGGGTTGGGTCGGGTTTGGTTGGGGGGGTTAGTTGGGTTGGGCTGGGTTGGGTTTGGTTGGGGTGGGTTGAGTTGAGTTGAGTTGGGTTGTGTCAGGTTGGGTGTATGTGAGTTTGTTTATAAATTATGCATTCAATAGGGGATGTTAAACAATAGAGAACGATAGGGTCCACAATTGACGATCGTGTACAAAACATATGGGAAGTCTTCCTAAAATGTACAAACAAAAAGAGGGACAATAGGGGGTCCACGATTGAAGGTGTTTACACACATGTGTGGGTTGGTTTGGTTGAGGTTGGGTTTGATAGGTTGGGTTGGTGTTGGTTATGTTGGGTAGGGCTGGGTTGGGTAGGGCTGGGTTGGGTTCGGTTGGTGTTTGTTGGGTTGGATAGGGTTTGGTTGGGTAGGGCTGGGTTGGGTTTGGTAGGGCTGGGTCTGGTTGGGTAGGGCTGGTGTTGGTTGGGTAGGGCTGGGGTGGGTAGGGTTGGGTTGGGTAGGGCTGGGTTGGGTAGGGCTGGGTTGGGTTGGTGTTGGTTGGGTAGGGCTGGGGTGGGTTAGGGTTAGGGTTAGGTAGGGCTGGGTTGGGTAGGGCTGGGTTTGGTTGGGTTGGGTAGGGCTGGGGTGGGTAGGGTTGGGTTGGGTAGGGCTGGGTTGGGTAGGGCTGGGTTTGGTTGGGTTGGGTAGGGCTGGGGTGGGTAGGGTTGGGTTGGGTAGGGCTGGGTTGGGTAGAGCTGGGTTGGGTAGGGTTGGGTTATTTATTTTATTTATTATTTATTAAAAGGTTTATTAAAAATTGTCATCACAGCAAAAAACTGAATTGCAACAATTATTACAATATTTAAAAAAAAAAATGAAGAGATAACATTCAATATATATTTAAAACATTTAAGAAAAGTAAAAGACTAAAATGCACCAAAGCGCAGGCGAACCAGCGCTGTCTCGACACCCGCGCAAACTCACTGCACTCCATCCCGACCCAATCATCCCATGAATGGAATCAATTCCATGGACAATTAAGCCGGGACGGAGCACACCAGTCCGCACAAGTGTCAAGATCACTTAGTTAAAATAGTTAAAACTGATAAACTGCATCCCAAAGGAACACTTTCAAAATAAACTAGCCAAAACAACTTCAATCAGACGAGAGAGACACCACTTTAGTAAAAAAGTTAGTCAAAAAGACCTCTCCCACGACCAACCAACGCTGCCTCTATACCAGCCCACTCTGAGAGCGAAAATAAAAATTACTATTGCACATTATTTGAAATGATATTGATACTGGTACATGTAGTTGAAAGCATGAAAATAAGCGAGTATCAATTAATCAAGGATGCAAAAGTTTCTGGCTGTAGCAAGTCAGGATACAAAATCAAAACAACTATGAGCCATCCTTGTTCCACAGATTGGCCATGTATAGGAGAGGGTTTTTCTGACAGCGGGTCGTTCTACACCTTGGGATGGCTAATTTTTGTGAGTTCCTTAATGCTTTACTATGAATGGTACTCTTCTTTGGTGGGGTTGCTGTTGGTTGGGTAGGGCTGGGGTGGGTAGGGTTGGGTAGGGCTGGGTTGGGTAGGGTTGGGTTGGTGTTGGTTGGGTAGGGCTGGGGTGGGTAGGGTTGGGTAGGGCTGGGTTGGGTAGGGCTGGGTTGGGTTGGTGTTGGTTGGGTAGGGTGGTTAGGGTAGGGCTGGGTTGGGTCGGGCTGGGTTGGGTTGGTGTTGGTTGGGTAGGGCTGGGGTGGGTTGGTTTGGTGTTGGTTGGGTTGGACTGGGTGGGTTAGGTTGGGCTGGTCTGGGCTCAGTTGGCTGTGGTTGGGTTGAATAGGAGAGGGTTGGGTTGGGTTTGGTTAAGTTGGATGGGGTAGGTGAGGTTGATATTGGGTTGCATTAGGTTCAGTTTGATTGGCATGTACAGGGTTAGGTTGCTTAGAGGTGAACGGATCAGTTTTGAACGAGTCCAATCTACTTGAATTTCTTGTTTTTAAATATTTGTCGCAGGGTTCACCATCCACAACACTAGCCTTGCAGTCCCAACCGAAAGCCCGTGAAGAAGATGACCTCCCGTTGACCTCTGTATTAAGCAGCAGCAAAGATGAAGAGGCAGCTCTCACTGGTGAGTGTTTTGCAACCCCCCCCCCCCCCAAATTCCTTTTGGTAGGGGAAAGTCTTGCTAAATTTATTGTCTGACTTTCTTTAAAAGGCAGAACCGAGAGGGTGGTTGGGTGGCTACCCCCCCCCCCCCCCCCCTCCAACTGATCAATGTTTACATATTGGAAAATAATCCTTGAATAATCTCATCACTCAATATTGGTTCATTGCTAAGGGTTCCCACAGTCATGCAAAATCCTGGAATTTAAGGGTATAATGGAAAGTCATGGAATGTTGTTGTTCTACGAGGAGTTGTGGAAAGTTGATATTCCAAGAAAAAAACTCACAGAAAAGTCACGGAATCCTTCACAACCCAAACGTGATGGTGTGTAATATATTTCCTTTGGAAAATCCTGGATCTGTCACTACTGTCCTTGCTAAACATCATTTCATTTTTTAAATCTCATTTTCAGATTCTACAGTAACTCAGAGAAGGCGGAAAATCTCAGGGGCTGCCGCCAGCCCGAACGGCGACTTGGAACCACAAGGTCATGACCTCGCGGGTCAAGGGTCAAATTCCGAGCAGAGTTTCTTGACTTGGAAAAGAATACTTCTGCTCATTGTTGCAATCACCATACATAACATTCCCGGTAAGCACAGTTGAATATATCAGTTCTTTTCACATTCCCCGGAAATCTGTTAAAGGGCCTACAAAATGCATTCTTTGTAAATGCACCTTTTTTGTCCCAATTAGCCTAATTTTCAATTTTGATTTTGCCATTTTTAAAGGCATTTTTGTGCCTTTTTTGGGACTTTATGCTAATAGGAATTTGCATATTCATGAGCAAAAGTGTGATGTCATTTCAGGCAGAATCCTCAATGTTACAGCTATTTCAGCACCAAAATTTGCCAGAATTTTTTTTTTTGCTGTCGTAGATTTGCTTTTCTTTGGTGATTTGTTGTTGTTTGAATACATAGCAGTAGGCCAATGAGCAAAGTTTTCTCACGCATGTTTTCAATGAACACATTTTGGGTTCACAATATGAGCAGAAAACCCTAAACTGAACAGTGTCTTCCTGAAATGACAATTATAACAGCAACAGCACCCTCATTTGTCAGAAAAGCATGGAAAATTTTAAGTGTTGAACCCTAACCTTCCCGAATCCTGCAAAATCCTCTTTGCAAAATGGAGGATTTTGCAGGATTGAGGCTACATGGCAAAAGTGCGTTGCTGATTTTGGAGGATGCACTGTGTCAAGGTCTTGGGCCAGACCTTGTGTTGTTTATGCTCAGCCGTGCATTAAATTTAGGCCTATATTACACTCAAAATCCTCCGCACTGCTCCAGGATGTCACTGGCTCTGCCTCAACATATTGACAGTGATGACGGAGGATTTTGCAGGATTGAGGCAGTGGTCACCCCTGCAAACACCACATTCAAGAAATAACAGAGGATTTTGCAGGATTGAGGCAGTGGTCACCCCTGCAAACACCACATTCAAGAAATAACAGAGGATTTTGCAGGATTGAGGCTGTATGCAATTGTTACATAGAGGTAGTTGGAGGATTTTGCAGGATTGAGGTTGCATCCTAGCAAAAATGCCTAGGGAGTTAGGGTAAAAGAAGTGCACTTTTCAATAAGATAACCAAAAAGGGATGTCAAATAGTTTTCATACACTTAAGAGGAGTAGAAAGTTGCACAGAGTATGTTCCCAAGTAAAATTCCATTGGCCCTTTAAGCAAATATTGAAACCAAACTTTTAAGCTCTTCTTGTGTGCAGAAGCAACAATAGAGAGATTTGTAGAATGTTTGACATGGTTTGTTTAGGGTCAGTGGGTGTAGCTCTTTAAGATATGGTGCAAGGAACTATGGGGAATTGGTCGACCCTGCAAATTTAGGATTTTCCCAAGATCTCAAAAAAAATTTGCTTAACCCTTACCCTACTAGACCCTCCAACGCATGCCAATTGTGCCTCAAGAAAATCTCCTATGTTTTTTGCATGGCCCTCCAATATCTGCCATGTCATTTCAAGGGTAACTGGACAGGCACTCCAATACATGCCACAGAGAACAATGAGAGTCCTCTGATAACAAAGTGAGTGCCCCCAGCTGGTCAGTATCAGGCACCCTCCAGGGCCTCCAACTCCTGCCAATTAGAGCCTTCACTGCTACATCAAAGTATCCTCCAATAAACTGCAGCTGGAGGGCATTGGCATAACCAACTGACATGCAGTAAACTACCCTCAGAGAGTAAGGGTTAAGTTGCTAAAAAAAATCCAAAAGTATCAGTTGTGTTTTGCTACAAGGTTTTATGTTCCTGTTAGACAATTCACATTCCACTAATGTGACCCGCCCCACAAAAAAAGGCATTATGTCACAAAAAAATTGAAATTGAGTCATATACATGGTTGGAAAGCCCACAATGTAAGCTTTCATTTGGTATATAATAGAGCTCCATAGCCCCTCCCGTACTGGAGATATGACATATCTGCATATTAATTACTTCCTTGGAGTTCAAATTACACAACTGAGAAAACAGGCATGATGCACTCAAAATTGTCATTTTTCCCACTTTATTAATTGAAATCAACATTTCTGTGAATGAACCCTGAAACTTTAGGTATTAAAGATGTCATTCATGACAAAACAAATTAAATCATATTTTGACGAAATTGTCACCCTCTCAATGTTGAGCGGGCCATTACACGATAATGCACAGTGCGACATATTACCCTTTTTTTGTGGAGCCGGTCACAAATAAGATTGCAAAGCTGTTACCTCCCCAATTAATCTTGCAAAAATCAGAATGGATACTTTTACACACAGATTGCACTTTTTTTTCAAAAGAAAACAGTATTTTTTAGTAGATACCAATATTGCCCACTCTTTGATGATGTTTTTAGAATTCTGCTTCCCTCTGAACAAAGTTAGCGTGTTGAAAAATCAACTCTCAACATGAATGTCTGAAATGCTTTTGTTCCTAACAAAATGCCTAAAATGCGAACATAAGAGGTTTTGCTTTCAGACGTCAGTGGCCATTTCGGATGTTAAAAGGTCTCAAACCGGTCCTATTTCGGATATGTTAACCCGCATTGTTCTTGTTTCAGACATTTGTGAGGCATTCTGTCAAAATGAGATGGAACTGGGCACAGGCCATAGTTGAGAAAAATACAAAAAAACGAATTGTGGTGATTTTTCTTTATTTTCAGATTTATTGATATTTGTAATGTCTTATGTGTATACTACACATATTTTAAAGAAATACTATAAAAATCGTGGAATAACAGTGTTTTTAAGGGAAAACAGTTGGCACCTCTCACTTTCACGAATACAAAACTTGAAACTTTAAAGGCCTTTTTCTCAGTGTTTTACTTTTTTGACATGTTGATAAATGCGAACTTAAAACAGCCGTAACTTGTCAACAGAATTTCTGATTGAAGTGCAACACACAGTATTGTAAGGGGAATTTTATTCTCTTTCTCAATATCCACAAACCCTCATTTCGACCTCTGCCCAGTTCTGTCTCATTTTTCCAGAACGCCTCACATTTTCTCTGGATTACTGGAACAAGAGTTTTAGGCATTTCTGTTTCAATTTAAGGGAAGCATATCGAATATATTGGACAGCAGTGTAAGTTCACTCTGAAAACTAGTTCGTTAAAGTTACCTGGAATTTTTCTTTTAATTTTTAATTGTTTTTAGAGGGTCTAGCTGTAGGAGTGGGATTTGGTGCCGTTGGGAAAACTCCATCAGCAACATTTGAAAGTGCAAGGTAAAGATTTGCAGAAATGTTCTCTGAATTTGTCATGGTGATTTCTTGATTTCCATTTTTTTTTTTGCTCATTAAAATTCATATATTTAATAACCTTAATGCAAAGACTGAGTTGAGGCCTGCTTCACTCAATTATCTTTGTTTGATTGTTATCTTGGTAGAAATTTAGCCATTGGGATTGGCATACAGAATTTCCCAGAAGGCCTTGCCGTGAGTCTACCCCTGCGAGGATCTGGTTATTCCACGTGGATGAGCTTCTGGTGAGTTATGGTGGCAGTCAAATTCTTGCCGGCAACAGAGGGCGCTTCACATCTGAACAATAAAACAGCCAACAGAGCTGACAACAAAGGCCAAGTTCGGGCAAGGACCATAAGTCGACTAGTGGTTGATTTGTGACGTACCTTATGCCTGCACACTAATAGCAACGTGCGAACGTCTCTAGTCAAACGCTGGTCAAAATATCATCGCAAAACTTCTGGATCCTAACTCCCTGCTGTACGTTATGAATGCGCGCGGCTATTGGTTACCAGCGATGCAACCAGCCCCAGTAGGTTGGTTCCAAATAGTCGACTAGCGTAGTCAACCACCGTCGACTAGACAGAGTTCGGGCTAACTTCAGTCGAACTATGGTTAACCAATGGTCAACAATAGTTCTTGCGCGAACTTGCCCTGAGCTGACAGAATCTACTAAAAGTGTATGCAAGTAATCGGCACATAGCAATGAATGAATTATTTTTTGTTAATATATCTAGCATACATTTTCGGTGAAGTGTTAGATCATGCCTTAAGCAAACTAAACTACCTTAAGCAAACTGGCCCCCAGTTTCAAAAATATTTACTTTGCTATTTGGTTCATTATTTCTTGTCTTGAAGGTACGGGCAGCTGAGCGGAATGGTTGAACCCATCGCAGGGGTGCTTGGTGCCCTTGCCGTGGTGGTTGCCGAGCCGATTCTACCCTACGCCTTGTCGTTTGCAGCAGGCGCGATGGTTTACGTTGTCGCGGACGACATACTACCGGAAGCCCAAACAAGGTAACAAATTATTTGTCAAATCTTAAGTTATCCCTCAGCAGTCTTTTTTTTAACATCATTTCTCCTGAATCTCTGATGTGTCTTCTTTTGCCAAACGTGAACATTTGATGATTTTGAACTGTCCTTCTTCTGTTGTACTTGTTTTATTCATCCTGTGTTTTTGGTTTGTTCATTTCAGTGGCAATGGCTTGCTGGCATCTTGGGGGACCATTGTTGGTTTTATTATCATGATGTCACTAGACGTTGGCCTTGGATAACCGTGATCAATCCTACATACCTCCCTGCTGGCTGACCTCCTCTATGCATCTGCACCAAGTTATCCTTTCGAACAAGACCCAGCCCAGCCCAGACCCCTCTCCAACTAAACACCCCTCTCCTACCAGACCCCCTTTCGAATGCAACACCCCTCTCCAACCAAAACCCCTCACCAACTAAACACCCCTCTCTAACTAAACAGCCCTCTCCTACCAAACTCCCTTTCAAACCCAACACCCCTCTCCAACTAAACGCCCCTCTCCTACCAAACCCCCTTTCAAACCCAACACCCCTCTCCGACCAAAACCTCTCTCCAACTAAAGACCCGTCTCCTATCAAACCCCCTTTTCGAACCCAACACCCCTCTCCCACCCAAAGCCCTCTCCAACTAAACACCCCTCTCCTACCAAACCCCTTTTTGAACCCAACACCCAACTTCATTCCAATACCCTCTTCCACTTACCAACCCTCTCCAACCCAACACCCCTGTCCAACCCATTACCCCTCTTTCCCGTACACCCCTCACAAACACAACACCCTTCTCAGCCGAACCTCCTCTTCAACCCAAAACCCTTCTCCAACCCAAAACTTCTGTCCAACACAACACCCCTCTCCAACCCAACACCCCTCTCCAACCCAACATCCATCTTCCACCCAACGCCCCTTCTCCACCCAACACCCCTCCACCACCCAACGCCCCTCACAAACACAACACCCCTCTCAGCCAACCCATCCCCCCTTCCACCCAACACCCCTCTCCAGCCCAACACCCCTCTTTAACCCCCACCCCTCCCCCCCCACCCGACACCCCCTCAAAACCCAACATCCCTCTCCAACCCAACACCCCTACCCCACTCCCTACCCCAGTCAACACACTGAAGTGTGTATTTGCCTGCAATCGGGGACCCCCTATTTTCCCTCTTTTGTTTGTACTCCAGCTTTTTAGGAAGACCTCCCATATGTTTTGTACACGAATCCAAATTGGGGACCTTCAGGAATTGGGGACCGTATTGTCCTCTGTTGTTCAACATCCCCTATTGCAAGGGCGGATCCAGGGGGGGGCCAAAGGGGGCCATGGCCCCCCCCCCCAAAACGAAACCAATTTTTTTTTTTTTTTAATGTGACATCGCAATAAAGGCAGGCAATGAGTACACCACCATCTTTTCCTCAAAAAAAATTGGTTAAAGTGGTCAGAAATTGCCTCAGATCGCACCACAGAGCATCTAGAATCCAAAAAATTTTCGGGGCCCTCACGGGCCCCGAACCCCACGCCGTAATTTTTGAGACCCACTTTTTTGGGGGGGACCAAATTTTTTTTGGCCCCCCCCCCAAAATTGTGTTCTGGATCCGCCCTTGCCCTATTGAATGCAGAAACAAATGCACTTACCCAACCCAACACCTCTCTCACCTAACACCCTACCCACCCTCATACACTCTTACCCCAGCCAACACCCTGAGAGAGAGAGGGAGAGGAAATGAAAAAAAACCAACTTGGATAATCAAAGCAGCAACATGCTGCAATTTTTTTCATCTTTCAGTTGTCTAATTTAGGAGAGAAAAACATTATGTTTCATAAGTTAGAATATTTGCCATGAAAGTCATTCACATTTCACACATTTAATTTTATTATCTGTCTTATTCTGGATATGAGGTTCGACACCAGTAAATGGGCTGGTAAGGATTTATTTTGGGAAAGTTCAATTTTTTTGGAATAATTTTCTTTCTTAAATTTATTCTCAGCAATTATTTTAATAATTTTTCAAATCAAATTTCGAATCATTTGTACTTACTAAGGGAATAAATGTGTGCTCCGGAGGTTTTTATCACTCTGTTTAATACCACTTAGAGTCTGGGTGCTGATAATTACCCGAGCCGGAGGCGAGGGTAATTATCAGCACCCAGACTCTAAGTGGTATTAAACAGAGTGATAAATACCGACGGAGTACATATTTATTCCCATTCATAAATACCTTTTCGGTAAAAAAAAATCATATAATTCGTTCAAAACATCCCGATTTTGTTCAACAAATTCACTTTATGCTTTTTGAATCACCCCTCCTGCAAAATAATGGAGTGTTCAGCTGGCGAGTAAGATGAAAACAACCCTTTTATGGAGATTGACGCGCGCGTATCATGTTCTATGCGATGTCGCGCAGAACGCACCTGGCGCGTTGCGTTTTGAATTTAGAACTATAAAATTCTAACTCCCTGGTAGTGTTGCGCATGCCTACGTGAGGATTGTGAACGTTCAACCAATGAAACGATAAGAGGCACTGGATTTTTAGGAGTCCACATTTTATTGTGACACTGGAAAAGTGTTTAAGACCAGCTAGCCATGTCTTTATCATCCGTTTAATACCGGCCACGTGACGGGCTCTCGACCAATAGGAATGGCTAAACTGTCTGAGGTATTTATGAATGTAGTTTAAATCCAACCTTGAGAAAGATGTACAGTATAGCATATTTATAGAAATAGCAGGTATGAATCGTTTTTTTCAAAACCATCATTTTCTAACTTTTTTAAAGAGAAAGTAGTTTTGTCTAGGCTTTTCCACGCATATAAGTCATAATTGAAAGAAAAATCTGAATATAGTTCAAGACCTTTAAAGAAACTTACTAGTCTGTCATACCAAAGAGCCTTTAGAGCCTTTACTTTTTTTAAGAAGGAAGTGTGATGGCTAGACCCCCCCCCCCTTTCCAAAAAAAAATATTTCAAACATCTTTCCCAGAAGCTGGTCCCTTATAACTTTTTGTTTTTGTTTACATTGTAATCCCTCATTTTGTACTTTACATAATCTATCCTATTATAGATAAATCTGTGTATTTCTGTTGCTGATTATGTATATTATTGGTACATATTTTCTGAGTAAATGTATGAAGGGCAATAAAGTGGTTTAATTTGGGAGAAATTCAACGTGTGACTTTAATTTTCCATTTGTTAATTATGCTTGAAGAACTGAGTTTGAGAAGAGTCAAAGTAACTTCTTTTTAGCGCACCAATTTTCTATAAAATTTGTTCTTGGGAAACAAGTTATAGGTGGTAGTGGCAGGGGCAAATGTATATTTTAATTTTAAAAGGAAAATGTTTAGCCAAAAATATGTTCTTTGTTCTCACTGACTTCTGTTAGCAAGAAACAAAACAATGTAACGCGCCCAGCTTGGCTGGTTTTAACTTCAAGCGTGATGGTTCTGAACCAATGATATTTGTTAATAAGATGTACAAAATGTAGTTGCTTTTCAGCACCGGATTTTTTTCTTTTTTGGCTATTAATTTAGGTGATTTTTCAAGAGGAATCGGTGATTTTCAAGACGTGCTCGGGAATTGTTTATGTCCCCTCAGCCTCTTATGGTGGAAAAATATAATTACAGTCGACTCTCGTTAGTACAAACTCTGTTAATACAAAATTCTGGTTATAACAAACATAAAGCCTTGGTCCCGACTGTGCATTTATGTGCACAATGAATGGGACTGATGTTCCTTTTAATACAAAATTCTGATATAACAAACAATTTGGCTAGGTCCGAACGAGTTTGTTATAACCATGGAGGAATAAGTTATAACGAGACTCGACTGTATAAAGAAATAATTTTACTTAAGCAAAAACGATTTGAATGTTGCCTCCTAAGAGTGGAGTATATTACTTTTTCGGTTTAGCAGTCTCTCGAAGACGTCAACGAACTCTAATATCTATATAATAAGCCCCACACGGTGCGAGTACTGTCCAGGTTTCTGCCTGGGTACAAAACAGGTGACCAATTAGTAACAACCTGCGCTGTGTATAGGTCATCGGTATGTCAACTATGCGGACCACATCGGAGCTAGAAACTCGCAACACAAGCACTGTGCGTTCGAACTGAGAACACTCTACCCTCTCGCCTTGGCCAATGACCTGTCTTACCATTTTGTGCATGAGGAGTTCAACTCCAGTCCCAATTAAAAAGTCCGGATCCGAGATCGAGCACTCGTCAGGTAAGGCCCGGGGGGTCGGGGCGTAACTTCTCCGTCAATGACAATTTACCGGTGAGTGCATCCGAAGAGACAGTGGATTGTTGAGAGTTGGTAAACTTGATGGTAACTAAACTGGATTTGGGCCGTGGAGTTACACACACACGTCTGCACGTCTGGCTAGTACAAGTTGCAGCGTGCACGCAAAGTACAGGCGTTTATATTCACCCAGCTAGTGGATTTGCTAAAATCGTTTGGAATTTATGGATTTTCCTTCCTCCATGGATGGAGGTTGTTCTGCAGCCCTGGCCGGCTGTTCATCCTTTGCTCTGAATGTTAGCTTTTGCAGGTAAATGAAATCAGCAGCAGTGTGGAGTTATGTCATCACAATGTCATCATTTTACACAGCTTAAATAACCGAAGCTGCATGACTGAGAAGGCAGATATATTGGAATTTACTCGAAGGAGATTTTGTTCTGGAAAATGTTGGACGTTCAGGCTGGAAGGACTTGGATCTTATTTTCAAGTTCAGAACTTTGTTAAGTGACATCCTTGCTCATCTACAAGCTGTTGTTGCTAGGATACGCATCTATACCAGCCATGGATTCTACCTCCGGGATACAGCTGACTTGGAATTTATGAGATATGACAGATGTGATGTTGGAAATATATATAAGCCGAGGTAAGTAAGACCGCTAATTTCAATTGATAACTAGTTTTTTTAGCTAGTTTGGGGGGGGGGGGGGAATGCCAAATTCTGACTTTTTTTCCAAATTGTTCATCACTGGACAGAATTTTGAAAAGAAGGAGAAAAGTTGCGGTTTATAAAAAAAAGCTTTTCCCTAGTTTTTTTGGTGAAATTATTAGGATTCTCTCGTTTTCATACTGATAATATTTGGTCCCAAACTATAAACAAACAAAAATAGTGAAAGGTTGGTTGGAAATAAATTACATTTCTGCAAAGGTGCTAATTTTGTAGGTCTAATTTTGAAACTGTAAATGTGGCTACTTATTTTATAGCATCCACTGGTGCACTTTGATTGCAAATATTAAGGTAAACCATTTGGCATGTTTGGACACCGAAATGTTTGCACATGGTCATGATGGTACTCGGGGATAAGAAAGAACCAAATTAAATCCCGTGGAATTTTGTGGAGTTCAGAAAACGTAGACTCGTTAGTGGTCCCTCGTCTTTCATTCAAATTGTAATGACATTAAGAGCTACCTTTATTAGGCGATTCTCTCGTAAAGACTTGGAAGCAAGTCGACCAATTTCCTGGGAGTTGTTTATCGCTTGGGTTACATGGCGTGCCACGGGGACTGGGGTCAGAATGAATAAGCCATTATGCTTCGAGGGGGTATGGTCCACGTTCCTTCGGGTACAAATAATAAAGGAAAAGGGCAACAAACTTGGGGTGAGGTTTGCATGCTCGGAAGTAAACAACACAGCTGAATGGCGCAAGTGTTGGGTTGAAGACGGCAGGGGGGAATTCGGATGAAAACTGAGATGTCGTGGTGAAAAATGATGAAGTTCAGTGACAGAAGGAAAAAGTTCGTTCAATCTTCGATCAAGATAGAAGGCCATAATATGTTTTAGATCAGTCCGTACCAGTTACCATGGTTAGCGGTTTCTTTTTTTGGGGGGGGGGGAATTAGGGGGTTCTTTTAATCAAAAAATCGGATTTATTTGATTTAAATCAGATCTTTTTTATTTGAATAAAATTTGTTTTGATTTTTTTTTAACTTGCAAAGTATTGATATTGACATGTCTAAAAAATATGTCTTAATCTTCCCATGCACCCTTACACCCATCACTAAGGAGTT